CCCTAGAAACACCAGTCCATGTCTCTGCCTTTGCTCGCTAGCTCCGTCACTAGTGCTCAGAAGGCGTCCTCGATCTCCAGGGCATCCGCCTGCAAGCTGCGTGAAGCTGGGCACGCAAACCTTTTCCATGATTAGAGTGGGGACCAGTTATTGAATGTATACTTTATTGTTTGCTTCACTTTGAGTCACAGGTAAAATGTAAGATGTATCCTAAGTCTACCCCAGTTTCCATGAGTCCAAAGAAATGGCCTGACCGTGCACTGGCAATCGAAGCAATGTGCTACAGAAACGAGCATTTGGAGATGTCGTGTCAAGCAGTCTGTCCACGACCCGCTTCAACAAGGGGGACTCCAGATTCTTCATGTCGACTCTGGAATGTTGCGCTTGCAAAGCGAACGGGCTTTCCAAGATCAGAGCTTGAGGACTAAAGGAGTGAAAGTTGGGTAGGTTGGACCCCAAAGAGTCACAATTTCAAGGGCCAAACAAACATATGGGAGGTTGGACCCCCAAGTGGTCGCACTTTGGAGGACCAAAAGACAAAACAAAAATGGGAGGTTGGACCTCCAAAGACTCACTTTGGCAAACATGGCTGGACCCACAAATACTTTTTGGCAGACCGAACACATCGAGGGCCTCAGCCATGGACTCCTCGGCCTCCAGCGGCTCTGGCGCCGTTTCGGCCTGCGCCACCGCGTCGAGTTTTTTTCGGCGGCGTTTGGGGCAGCGGCACGTGCCAGTGGCTGTGGTGGTCAAAACCACGAGCGCTTTTGGATCCCATTTTGGGAAGGTAGGTGAAGGTAGACTCTCTAAGCCATCGATCGGATCTGACTGGCTGCAGTTGGCTGTGGGTCAAAACCGTTTTGGATCCCATTTTGGGAAGGTTGAATTCACCACCCATCTTAGAACCTATTTTAGTGGTTGGATTGAATCGGATGTTCACTGGGGGCTTACCGATTTGGATTTTGACCCATGGCCATGTGGTACGAAAGTCCTTGCCACGAGTCAGTGGTCTCACACTTGCAAGCAAATGCTGGTTACAGTTTTGAGGGGGCCTGGAGCTTTCTTTCCGACGGTGACATGTGCAATGCCAAGCAATTTGCGACTTCCAGCATAATCTCAGCATGTTTCACGCCCTTCAAACAGGCCCACTCTGATGAGCTAAACTTTGAGTGCTCTTCCGTGCTTGTCCTACTGGGTCCTATGATGTCCTGCGCTCACCCCCCTCTTCCCCGGTCATTACTACGTATCTTAGGACGACCAAAGACGCCAGAGTATATCTATCTACAGTGAATGATAGCACTCATGCCTCTAAGCTTCGCCGACCCTGGGGCCAATGTACCAGCACAATGTGAATGGCTCCTCCCATTAACATGCATAAAGTCGCTGCTGGCTCGAGCCTGGTGGACCTATCTCCACGTGTCATGAGGATCGACCTATCCCACGTCTTCTTGTTTGGTTCTAGAGGGACACTAAAAGGACAACTGGCATTTTTTGGGAGGGGGGGTCGCCTGAAGAAAGACACGCCCTGCACTTTGCGTCAAAATTGTCCGAACGGAAGGTGTCGAGCGTACCCAATTTTGGGTCCCGCAGCCTACGATCGGCGTCCGCGGTACATGCCGCACGCCGAAACGCGGGCAACACGTCTGCGTCGCATGGCTGAAATGGCTCATCTGGGTATGGGCCAAAATTGACCACCAGGGGACCGCAGGTTTTCGTCCTTGTTTCCATTCACCAAGGCAACCCATTTTGGGGTGACCCGATTTTTGAAGCCCAGCCATTGGATTTCCATGAAACATGGCAATCCGGTCCAAACCAAAGATTCCAGAAGCACCAAAAAACAAAAAGGCCGGCCTCGGCCACGTCGGCCTCTGCGAAGTCGGGAGTATCGGGCACAGGATTGACGCCAGTGTCCTGCATGCAAAGCTTCACCCGTGCAGAAGAGCTCGTCTGGACCCCGATCCGCCTCGCTTTTTGTGCCGATCTTCAGATCTCAAAAGGCCAAGAAGTAAAAAACACATTTTTTTGTTTTTTGTTTAATGATGCCAAGCACCGGTAGACAAACATCAAGGTCACAGGATTCAGCAGTTATTTCACATACCCATCCCGAGGTAAGCAATTGAGGAACCGGTTGTGTCTCTGCAAAGGTTTGCAATTCACCGGCTGCCACCTCTTCGTGAAAGAATGGCAGTGCACAAACTACCATGTCCTTGCAGAACTCCTGGTAGCTCCTTAGCTCCCTCTTTAAGGGCAAATTTGGAAACGCGCAGATCCTTGGCTCCCTTCCAACCACCAGCTAGCAAACCACCAGCCACAAAAAGGCATGTCACGCGGGTGGGCGACAAAACGACTTTGGGGTTCTGCATCGCCAAGGCGTGCTGCCAAGCTTGCATTGCGTTCTTTGGTTGTGGGGAACCTATGTGCGTCAAAATATGGAGACCCTGCAAAAAAGGTGCTTTCCTTCTGGTTCCCCTGAGCCTGGAAACTACCCTGAAACGTCTCTAAAAAGCAAATAAGCACACGCGCCCGTCTCCTCCAGGAGGTCCTGGGCGCGTTGGCAGCACATCACCCGCAGCTCGTGGGCTGCCACCACGGAGCGGCAGACGCTCGCCACCGACTCCTGCATGGCGACGGCGTGGTCAGAGGTCAGTGTATGTCGCCGGTTTAAGTGAGTTGGGGGGGGGGTTGTCAAAATGAGGACCCCAAAGGGGTTTAAGTTATGTGGGGGGGGGTTGTCAAGAATGAATGCCCTTTTGGGGCCATGGTTTGTGTGGGGCCCGCCTTTACAAGGACAAAGGGGTCCAAAACGGGACCAACAAATTTGGCAACCTGCAATGTCATAGGTGTCTAGGTCCGCGTCACTGAAAACTAATTATTTCTTGCGGGTTTCATGAAGTTCCAAAAGGGACGATGTAATATGGCCCATGTGTCATGAAAAGAAGAACCCATTCACGTGCGCGTGCAGGCATTCAGACTCAAAAAGACACCCAGGACACCCAGGACACGCAGGACAAACAAACACTCACCCGCAAACACACAAACACACAAACACACAAACACACAAACACACAAACATACAAAGACTGTTATACACATAAAATAAAAAACATACCCGCATTGCGGGAGGCCCAAAATGGAGCAGATCGGCGTCGAAAGTTGTGTCTCACACTGAATACGGGAAGGTACACTGCACCACCAAGATTGGCCTTTCCTTTTGTTTCTTTTGGGGGCTCTTGTGGGGGTATGATAATTCGATTCGCTATCCACGTGAGTCATAGTCAAATCTGGTATCAAACGGACCGATTCCCAAACCCGTTGTGTGTCACAATGCAAAAACTGGCACAACAAAAGCCTTCGAAGGAGGGCGGCTGCACCTACTTTTGGTTGAGATTGTCGGATAATCTAACTTACCTTCACATACTGTACCTGGGTTTTGACTATAGCGCACCTAATTTTGTAGGAATTTGCTTTGGACAGGCAGGGACAAAGCTGTCCGGAAAACAGCCTGGAGTATGCAGCAACCGTCCTGTCAAGCTCCACCCCTTATCGCAATGTGCATGCCCACTAGTTGATTATTTGATGAACTTCCGCGCACATGTTTGCTCATGGCTCGGGACACCTGCGTTTTTGTTGCACACTTTTGCTTTTGTGTCTACCTCAAACCAAACGGCTCATTGCAGATGCAGCCACATATCCCAAATTGCGCAAGCTTCAAGAATAAGACCTGCAAACCCAGCCTCGTCCGTCGCACTCAGAAGGTTCTCAAACGACATGGTCAAATCCTGCAATCGACGCACCCCTAGACTCTAGACCCCTTGCAGCCCAAGCATTGCCAGTCATCTAATTGCACTCAAGCCACAGGGCCCATACACCAAAGTCTCAACATAAAGTGTGACATCATGTTAGGGGGCTGTGAGGGGCCGATTTCTAGGCTTGAAGAGGACAAAAAAAGCCACCTGTGCATCCGTACCTGCGTTCGCTTTCCATGAAATTGTCCAATATGGTTGGAGGGGCATCGACGTCAAGAACAAGCTAAGGCGATAAGACGCCAGGCAAAAGTTTGCATTTGCCAGCAAAGGCGTCAGTGAGCCAAGCGGACACAAGGGTGTTTGGCATGGTTTGCTCAGCCTGCAGCCCAGCAGGTTTTCCAACGAATCTGTCGGCAGGGTCTCTCATTTTTGCGCTCGAGGACTTTCACGGGATCCTGAGAACATCGGCTTGAAGTCCTCACTGTCGGGGGCATGGGGAACCCTCCACATAGGACAATGTCTCATTGCTCCGCCCCATGGTTGTGGGTGCTTGAATGTGAGAGTACCCCTTTTGGAGTGGTTTCAAGGGAACCAAAACACCAACCATTTTGGGGGTCCGCCAAAAGAGACACACCCAGAATATGACCTCTCACCTTCCCGCAATTTGGTTGCGCACCAGTCCGCCCAAGCACCGAGTTGTTGATCCAATCATCGGCAGCTCTTCATATCAGTACAGGAGCCTATCCTGCGCGCCTGTGCGCTTGGCTTGCTCGTCGTACCAGAATTCAGAGAATCAGAAATCTGATTCGCCCCCTCCCTCCAGCCTGGAACTGCTGCTGCAAATCTTCGGAACCTGGGCTCTCGATGTTCAGCTGCTGCAGCCAGCGTGCCATGTCCCCAGTGACCTGCCAGGGAATCGGAAACTGGTGCGCTTGGAAACGCGCAACTTTGCTCCCACAGGTGCAAACATGTCAGGACCAACCAAGGAGTGGCTAACATCAAGGGTGTGAGACCAACGAAACAATGGCGCGAGCTCTCAATTGTTCAGTCACCAGCCAACACCACAGTCGATTGATCAGAAAAAGCGAAAGCTGTCGATTCTGGAACGGGGTATGAGCTTCTAAACTATACCGCCTGGCAAGCAATAGCGAGCCCACAAACATGATGAGGACGGTTTCCCGGGCGTAAGCTTCAACTGGAGCCGGCCGAATAGTGGATTACGCAACTTGTGCAAGCGTAGCTCCTGGAAATACTAAAGAGTTCGATTTCCCGCAAGGCTGCGTGATGCTGCGTGTGATTCGCAGCTGTTCAATCCTGGATGGTTTTCCACCCGGGACACCTTTCGACCGCAGTCGGCATGGAATCTACAGTTGTGCCACTCGAATTGATATCATTCGAGCTCAACTGGCTTACTCCCTCGCGAGTGTTGGTGTGTGTCATGTTTCTAGGGTGCAATCTCAGGGTGAAATGGAACAATTAAAAAAAATGCTCCTACTTCCAAACGCGCATGGCTTCTCTACCGCATCAAACCCTTGTGGACACAAAGATGATAGGAGCAGTGCGATCCTGTCTGGATGGCGCAGGGATTTCAGTTCCTTCTAGGCACCCATGGTAAGCTGCAAACCCAAGGGAGAGCCTCCAATAGACAACAAGAAGCCTTGCCTGAAACCAGTCATGATTTCATTGTACATCCTCATCCAACTGCTGAAAATGATGCCTCATATCCAGACTTGGCGCCTGATAAACAGTACAGGTGAAAGGTGGCAACTAAAAAGCATCAAAAGAGGCCTGAGCTACGTACCGGAACTCGTCTGCACTGCGTGGCTTAGCGAAAACAAGCCGGCCCTTTCCTCGTTGACTCAACGACATGACATACATTCTTGAGGCCTGTCTTATACAGAATGTCAATGACAATTGCCGGACTAGCTGTTTTGACCAAACCAGTCTGAAAGGCCCTAGCTCTGGCCGAGCAGCTCACTTTGTTGACTTCTACGGAAGAGATTCGCCTCAGTCATCCAAACTTCCAACCTCTGCCCCGCCCCTTGGCCCATCCATCTGCTCGGTTTTTTCTCCCACTGGGCCCCCACCACGGCTTCCATTAGCGCATCCGTGACCACCATGAACTCCTCCAAAAGCGCCTCAGCCATGCGTTTTTTGTGTGGCTCACACGGCGCAAAGGGCTGGGTTCTGGTCTCTGCGCGAAGGACCCAGAAACAAAAGGTTAAACTGACCAAAGAAAGAAAAACCGAACGGTCACAAGACAAGTGGGGCTTGATTTCAATGCCCGAAGGACCCAGAAATAAAAGGTGAACCTTTTGGATCCTTGACTAAAAAACTGACCAAAAAAAGGAAAACCAAATGGTCAGGTCGGCTTTGGACAAGTGGGCGGTTGGTTTCAAGTGAAACAGCCTGGGGATCAGGATGCAATCTGCGTTGACTTGAACTTGACGAAGCAAGGGTAAACGGTCACGCTCTAGAAGTGCGCACAAAAACGACAACAGAATCGATAAGAACCAATCAACGGTTGGTACTGCGTGAACACAGGGCTGAGGTCAATACAGTGGATGCGATTGCCCACAATACGATTAAAAGCAAAGCGAACCAACGATTGACGGACTTGGTTGAAACCAATCACAATTTGATTGTAGATGAGAAACACTTGCTAGCAGCTAGCTCTTCAACCCCTTCACTCCAGTCATATCACATGGCATTGGTTAATCTATAAGTTTAATTACTTGCTGGTGCTCATGAACCTAGGGACCACCAGTTGGACGGTTTATCTCGGGGTCATTCCATTTATCATTCTCTGCATCTCTCGCACCAGCAAGATTGGCGACCCTGTGGACATCATTTGCATGACTCATGTCCCATCAAATAAGTTTCCTTGATGCCGCGGCCGCGCTCGTTTTTGTTCTATGGTTCACGTATGCGTAACAGCAGCGTTGGAGCATTTGTGGGTCTGCGTTTTCTTAAGGGGACCCCAACGTGGTGTTTTTTCTTGCGGGTTTCCTTTAGAACGACACAAATCGGGTACACACTCTTGTGTTGAAAGTACAAAGTTGCAAATGCAGCATCCATCGGTTTGTCAATGCATTTTTGTTTACCTGTACAATTCAAGCAATCTATGCAATGAATTTCATGAACTGGCCCTGATTGAGTCTCAGCAAAAGCACGGATGAGATGAACATGGTTCATTACTCCTGATTCGCCCGCCTTTCTACGTTGGACATATTGATTCACCCCACCCTCACACCGCCACCCCTCACCCCGCCACCCCTCTTCCCGACCACAACACTGGAGTGTCTATGACTATATTGCCATGGGGAGCCCCCTCATGCAACCAAACGGCATCATGTAGTGTAGTTTGGAACCACCTCAGTGGTGGGTGGACGTGAATCCCCGAAATGACGTCCAACAAAGGCTTTGGTCCCTTGTAAAGTTCATACCCACACCAAGGGGCTTCAAACACGACGAAACAGGACGGCCGGCTCCTCCCCGCCTCCTTGACGCCGTCATCAGTCACACCCACTTCTTGGAGGGCCTTGGCGAGTCAGGCAAGAGCTTGGGGTTGTCTCAAAATACATCCAAAACTGGTTTGGAACCGGTTTCTCGTGTGCTTCCTTTTTAAAACCAACCAAGCTGGGGTTCAAAGACACACCCAGTTTTGGCGGTTGCGGAAGGTCCCATCTGAGGAAGTTCAGATGCCTGCTTTCCAGGACTTGATGCAAATGCGGACGAATCATCAGCAATTCCAAGTGGATGGACGGCCCCCTCATGTGAATTCAAACGCCGAAAGAACAACGTTTCCGAGGTACGAAGGGTTTGGCAACAAGCTTCGCCACAATTCGCGTAGCATGATCCGCGCAGGAATCGCCATTATTTCAGCCCACAAGTGTTCAATATGCAAAGGTCCCTCCCATCCCTTTGGCCCCAGCTTGTTTTCTCGTGATGCTGTGTCCTTTACTTGTCCTTTTCATCATAACTGTCATGATCCGTAATGTCCCGCGCCTCATCAACCAAAGCATCGGTGGCTGCTGCCAGGTTGTCGCGCACAATGCCCTGTCCGATAAGCAGCAAGCACTTGGCCAGAGCACTTTGTCTCCGTGACAACAACATCGTATTCCTTGAGCACTACTTTTTCAGATGATTCACGTGTGTGTGCGCATGTGCACTGTGTGTATGTGCGTGCGTGTGCGTGTGGCTCTTCATGTCTCTGTATCTTTGAACAAGCGACCTTAGAGCTCAAGCATGACCCTCGAGCTCCTCGTCGGCCGGCCCTAGTCATATCTCGTGTGTGTGTGTGTTCCCTTCTGTCCGCCTGTCGAGCTCAACAAGAGCAATTCTGGCTGTGGTTCTAGCTCAGGTAGGTGGTGAACAAGGCATGCATCCGTTCAAAGGACCCAACATTCAGATTGTATCTGAAGCAAGGACATGAGTGCATGCTTCAGGGGCCACAGACTGTTTGCCTGTCCTGGGTTTGGAACTAGTGCTGTCATGGTCGTTTGAGTGCAAGCGCTGTTGTGTTTCTTCTTCGAACACACAGTCGAAGGCGAAGATGGCCACTGCCTGCCCGAGAGTACATGTCTGGCCCAGTACAAGAAACCTGATAAAGGAGTTCACTGCAAAACAAACATGCCGGGCTCAGCACGCTGGGGATCAGTGTCAATTTCACCTACTGTCCAGTACAGTATGGAACTATGTGCATAACCTATAACATGGTTGTACGGTTATGCATGAATGTATGCGGAAAATGCCGCTCGTGAAAGGTGGGCTGGTCAACTCCAGGTTGTGTTGCATCTTTTAAGTGTCAACTCGCCCTTCCTGTCTTCCGCTGGATCCCTCAACAGAACAGCTCCAGCGGTTTTCTAGATTGATTTTGGGTCTCAGTGAAAATACTTGCTATATAAACCACGAGGGCGAGTTTGAGGATGTCACTTTGATGAACCCTGCTCCATCCAAAACTAAGCCGACTGCCCCCCCTGTCCGCCCTCCCACCCCTCCGGCCCCTGCCCCCGAACCTCCAAATCACTCTGCTCAGCTCCTGGCCGTGAGGCTTCAACATGCTCAATGCGGGTGTGTCTCAAAATGGGGGAACCCCCAGGGGCGGTTCCCTGTTTCCTTCCTGTCAACCGACCAAAGAAAAGGGCACCTTGAAAAAAAGACACACCCATAGGGAGAGGCAGCCTCAAGTGGAGGCCACACCACGGCTTGAATCCTGGATGACCATGCTGCTTTTCGCATGCCGTGGCTTCGTTGCGCTGGCGATCAGCCCAACAAATGCTCTCTGAAGAGTGCCCAAAGGCCACCTTTGTATTCTATTTGACGGCACACGCTTCGGGACAGTACGCGAAGGGCTCAGGGCTCCATTGCACGCTTTGTTGAGGCACTATTTTCATGATCCGTCCTGCCCCTCAACATGGAACCTTGTTGAGACAGCTGCTGTGTGCTTCTTGCTTTCAAGCTTTGGGCAGTTTAATTAGGGCCACACCACAGCTGAAACGCGCTTGGAGTTTGTACTGGCGTACCCACGACATAGCGGTCTCGCCTCTGCCTGTTGCTTGTCTAGGTCTCTTCAACAGACTTCTGCTGGATTCGACCGATCAATCGCAAGGCTCCCACTGCATTCGCTTTGTCCCGGTGCCCGAACCATCGAACCGGGAAGCCTTCCCCGGACTGCGCTTGGCGGAGCCTTGGCCATGCGCAATACAGCGAGAAGCTTTCGAACCCTCGGGCAAGGTGCGACAACGTTGGTGCGTTGATTTTCAACTCCACCCTGGACCCTGGCAACGATGCAGCATCGCTCACTTTCAATGTCAAGCGCTGTTGCTTTCCCTCGCACACTTGCTCCTTTGCACTTTTACTCCCGCAGTCAAGCTGCTCTGTCCAGGCTTGCCCCATCTCGTCCAGACTCAAAGCATAGGAGTGCGAGGCCTGGCGCAAATGGGGGGCGCATGCCCTTTGCGCTTGATCGGCCTTGAACCCGTGGCGTTGTTACACGATGTTTGGCAGGCGTCAGAAAATGGGAATCGTCATACGCCGCAGGGCTTCCTATGTTTCCCCTTAAAACATCACCCCACCAAGGGACCCTCACCTTTCATGGGCCAAAACGGGGATCTTTAAAACTACCAAACAGGGAAATATAGGGACCCCTGCACCATGCATAGCTGAAAGTCTTTGCCAACACCATCTCTCCACTCCAAGATAATAAACAGCTGGTGCTCCTGCCGAAGGCCAGCGAGTCAAAAACACGCCTCAACCGAGGAGGGGTATAGGAGGGGTATAGGAGGTGTGCTTGCTGGCTCTGTGTAGGGAATCAACAGGGGGGTTGGGAATGAACCTTTGGAAGCCCCCCATAATGATGAAGGTGTGAAAGGGCTACTTGGTTGCTATGTTTCTTGATTGTGGACGCCACAAACTCGGAGTTCAGATAATTACAGCCCCCCAAACAATAGCGAACAAACAACTCCAGCCAGCCAGCATCCGCTCATCCAGTCCAGGGCCACGTCCAACAAACGGGCTGGGCCCGCCCGCACCCGCCCGCCTCAAACTTCTTCCGTCCCAAGCCTGTCAAGGGCCGCATGGCCCGGGGTACATCATGGGTCCAAAGTCTTGGCTGAACATGAACTAAAACCCACACAAATAATAACCTTCGCTGATTCAAGGCTGAGGGATATGCTTCAGCAAGCTTTCGCCAATTGAAGGAACTGCACTCAACACAGGCAGGACCGCCGCAAAGGGGTTGAATTTGACTAAGATCTTGCCAAATAACAATGGCCGCATAGCTCTGGCCGTCCGGCCGCGCGCAACACATCGTAGCGAACAAGAAAACAGACACTTCAGGTACATCTGTCTCCAATGCCCGAGAGATTGGGACCCAACTCCAGTGCCATTGCCTTCTGGGGATCCTGACAAAAAAGGATGGGTGCTTCTCAACATAGATGAACCCAAAAAAATGCGCGTGTTTTCTGGCTGTCATAAGAAACCCCCAATGGATGCGTTCGCCTGCCTGGGGTGCTGGGAGAACGTTCCGGGCCCAGCTTGCCCCTCCGCTTCAGCACGGTGCGCAAGGCCCAGCCCATCACCTGCCAGGGGCGTGCCGGCTGTGCAAAGGTTCGTCGCAATGAAACTGATCTGGAAAACAACAAGCAGCTTGGCGGCGGGGCTGCTTGTTTTATGTCTTCAAATCTTGCGACGTAACCAAACCCAGATTTTCGTTGGCGTTTGGGAGACGCAGTGCTGCTCTAATTGCTTCAATCCGTGATTGCCGCGCTCAAACTGGGGGCTAATGACTCCTCATGGCCCATGGCCTCAGTTCTGGCAAAGTCTGCCTGAATGCAAGTAAGTCGCAGATCAGACACTGAACTTTGTTGATCAAGATAACAACGACAACGATTCAACTGAATGCCTCGTTACTGGATAGCAGTTTCAGTAGATGCTTCCACCAGGCAGCCTGTCACTAGCCACAATGATGATATTGCTGTCTCAGTGGATTCTCGAGATGTCACAAGCATAGCCATAGCCGTCGCTAAAGTCTCCGGGTAGCACATCGCACAGCCCTGGTTATGTAGCTTGTGATGATACTTCAAGGCTCGCGTCTGAGGACGCAAAAAGGCAGCCTCTCATACACATTCACGCCGCCAATCTGGTTTCCCCAATTCAATGCGGCAACAAGCCGCTTTTTGATCCACGGCTTCGGTTTGACCATCTGCCTCCTGGTTGCTCAGGTTCTCCCCGTGCTCCGACAGAGACACAGCGAGGCGGGAAGCTACCTGGCAGTGGGACTCTCGCACATCCTCGCGAGGTCCAGCGAATCGCCAACATTTGCCAATACTTAGATGAAAGGAGAAATCGATTGGCAAGGCACACTATCTGCACTAGCAGGCACTGTAGGAAACTGCTCAAGCCAGAAATGACATTCCCATCCTGCGTCTTTGCCATGCTTGCGATCCTTTCTCCAGATTCATCTTTCCTGACATTCCCCATCCTGCGTCTATGCGATCATTTCTCCAGATTCCAAGCCGTGAGGCACTGACGCCTCCCATCTTTGAAGCTACCTGAACCTTCCGACTCCCATGCCGAGCTCCGGGCTCGCCCCCCCCCCACCCCCCCCCACCCCCCCCCCAGCGCCCCCGTCCCCCGGGCCCCTGCGGCTTGCGTCTGCTCGCCTCTTGGGCCTCCTGCATCAGCGCCTCCCGGTCCTCCAGCGAAAGCTCCGAGAAGCCCGGAGGCCACAGCTCCTGCGTCGTCGTTTTTTGGGGGGGTCGCCGCGAGTCGTCGGTTTCTTCGGATGCTTCTTGGAACCCCGTCACAGGTTCGACGCCTATGACACAGCTTCGGATCTTGGAACCCCGTCACAGGCTGGGCGCCGATGACACAGCGGCGAGAGAAAACAGGTAAAGGCTCTGAGAACGAGTGGCATCGAGTGCGACAGGGGTTCAGCGAGCCTCTAATCACCAAGAGAGGCACAAAATGGACCAACGCGAGAAATTCAGACTCCACAAATGGCAGGCAACAAATTTGATTTGTTCACTGCGCTTGTTAGACTGGTGGGAAAGGGCGTGCCGTTGTGTAAGCGACGTTGCATGCCCTATTCACCCTCCTGCCTCCTGGGCAGGATCGGCCTCATCAGCTCGCAGTCCGACTTGTGTAATGAAAAGGGGCCAAGTAAACCTGGGCTGACTGAAAAATCAGGGAGCCCACAACAATGCTAAGGACGTAAAACAAATATGTGGCATCAAGCAGGGCGGCCCAGCAGCCACGAAGCGGAGCTTGCGCTTGCGCTTTCGCAGCATGCTTTGCAGGACACGCCGAAGCAAGCTTACGCAACTCAAGATGTTGCCTATGTGCGAGAATCCCATGAACAACCCTTGCTAGACATTTAAAGTCATACTTCAGAGTTGCTCATTTGCATTGGGAAGGGCTCCTTGCAGTTGCAAGCAGCTTGTCTGGCTCTGGGCGCCCTGCGCTTGGCAAGGTATTCAGCAGCTCCCATTCCTGGCCGGGGCTTCGAAAACCCGCGGCTTCTCGTTGCTAGCTCTCAGTTTCAATCCCAACAGTTGCCATGGTCTGCGGCTGGTGGCACTCAGCCTGTTGGATGGAATCCAGGGTAGCCTCGAGAACTATTTCTTCTGCCACACCCGGCTCGCCAATTGAGAAAGGGGCCGGCTGTGTTCGACAGCAACACAACGGAAGATCCCAGCTTGAAAACGCGCTAGGCGCATGCCGCGGCAACGTTGCTGCAGCATGCGGCCTGTGATTCTGGTTCAGCATCTAATCTGCAGAATACCAGGGCATCGCTACGCTGAATCGCCCAGCTGGCATCTCAAGAACCACCATGGAACCCACACAAACTCCTTGCGAACGAGGACCTGCCTTTGCCGCAGGTGAATATATTCTCAGTGCAAAATATGTCTGGAAAAAGCTTGGCTACTATCAATGCGTCTTTTTTAGGGGACACCCCAAAAAGGTTCCTTGCCCTTTAAAACCACGAGAAGGGGTACCCCCACAAAAAGGACACACCCAAATGCGTCTAGGATGCTAAATTTCCCTTCAACATCACAAAAATGGTGCACCCAAACCCAACACTACAAAAAGGAAGACACACCCAAATTTGTTCCTGGACCCTTGGCAAAACTTGCTTTGCACCGCCTCCCTTCACCTCCGCACGCCGATTCCCCGCGAGCTTCGCCAAGCGCGGCCGAAGCGCCCCGATGCCGATGGTCCCGTTCTGCTCAGGGTCCAGCTGTTGCCACAGGCCGCTCGCATCGAAGCCCTGAGGGAACGCTGGTCTGCTGGATGGAAAGCTTCATGCTGTCACAAGAGCTATGCAACAAGATAATGCGTCCCTGATCTGTTCAAATTGTACCAGTTACGTGATTGCCCCTTCCTCCCGCGTAACACATGCATACTCGATAAACGCAAGAGGTTTGTAAACGACACAGTTGCCTCGTCATCAGAACTTCCCGGTCCACTTCTCAATCGCGATATATCAATCCTTCCCAAAAAGACAACCTTCATCATTCTCGGACTACTTTCCAGAATTGAATTGCTTTGGGACCTCCTCCAAAACCTCCACTCCTGTTTGTCCTGTGCCCTGATGTTCAAAATATTCAGGCTATGAAAACCGTGCAGCGGGCCGATTCTGAATCTGCCAAGTAGCTGTGGAGAGCTACTTGAAGAGACAGAGAAAAACACAATTGAAGACCAAATAGAGTCACGAAGAAAGAGAGCGGGAGGGACAGAGAGAGAGAGAGAGAGAGAGAGACAGAGAGAGAAGACAGAGAGAGAGAAGACAGAGAGAGAGAAGACAGAGAGAGAGCGAGAGAGAAGACACAGAGAGAGAGAGAGAGCGAGAGAAAGCCAGAGAGAGAGAGAGAGAGAGAGAAAGAGAGAGAAAGAGAGAGCGAGAGCGGACAATCCGTCACAAGGAAGGGCAAAAACAAAACACAGAATACCACCTGTGCATGGGTACTGAGACCAGCGCCAACTCATCATTGGCAATCTGCGTGAAGGTCTCGTAGGTGACGATGCCACTGCGAGCCAAGAACTTCATGGAAACTATAGCTGAAGATGCATACAATATGTTCCGTCACGGTCTTGTCCTACAAGGACAAAATGCAGATTGATGTGCCCCACCAGTAGTGCAATGACCTTCTCTTGTTTCAACTTTATGAAACAGTGCACCTCCAGTGCTGCTGGAGTCACTGGTTAAGAAGGCAGGGCATCAATGCTCCAGCAAGGTCAGCTCACAGTCGGCAAACAAACCAGGAGATACATACAATGACATACAATGCCCATACTTTTTCAGTTCAGTTCACGTGTGATACTGTGGATGGACGACATTCAAATCCATTTCGCACCACCTAAGTCACCCTGGGTTCTGATTCCCCTAGAAATACCAACCAACGTTATGGTTTCCCGTGGTTTCAACGCGGTGCGAAATGGATTTCGCCCATCCACAGTATGTGTCTATGTGCACAAATAACATATATATATATATTACACATGGTGTATGGCTGTGGGTTTTGATAGGGGGAGGACCTTGGTTGGAGGACATAGCCCCCGGCCTGTTGTCCTGATCGAACTTCGAGAATGCCTCCTCCACGCCTTGGGATATCGCGCCGGCTCGGACTTGCACATGCTCAAACAGTCGGCCCTACCATCCAGCCAAGTCTAGACTACCAGCAAATGATCGAATTTGCGGCGAGTCATAGTCTCGGTGCAGGTTTTTAGGATTAGATTAGAAAACATATTGTTCCCCACATCATCAGCGAGAAGCTTTTGTCTCATTTTCGGGGAGAAGGCGATCACGTGCCTTCCTAGAGCCGAAAAACGCTCGAAAGCGCCGAGCAGCTCATCTCCCAGGTCTCTTGGATGAGTCGGGCAAACTCTGCGGCCTGGCAATCCGAAAGGTACGGCGATGCAGAATCGCCGGAAGTCCAACTCATCAGCTGAAATTGAGTGGCGATTGCTTTATCAACTGTCGACGTGAATCACTTTTGTGTGCATTCCTCTTGCTTGCCACTTACGAGTACTTTCCCATTGCTCTCCTTGCTTTCCAGCTGCTTCGCAAGTTGCTTTCCAGTGGCGTTTCGTTTGCTTTCGAGCTGAACGCAAGGCAGGGCGCTGGATTTCAAGCAAGCGCCAGCATGCGATGTGTCGGGAATTCAACCAATTGCAGGCCTCAGCTTGCCTAAAGGGGGGTCGTTTCCCGTGCATTTCTTGGCCTCAGCTAGCTGCCTAACACAACGTGGGCACTGATGTGCTTCCGGCAGGCCACACTCGGCCTCGCTGTCCTTGCGCAGCACCTTCTTCTGGGAGCTGATGCAGCGAGCCTCGCGGACGGAGCGTGGCACTGGGAACTCTGCGCACGTCACGCCCACCGCGACTTGTGTAGGGTGCCGCAACGAGAAGTTGGACACATTCAGTTGCAGGGCAAAAGCAGGTCAAATGCGATCCGGTCGCAGCCCCATGGCTGTCCGCATGCTCGAAGTACTTTCTCGACTTGGCCCTGCGAATGCTGTTCTGAATCATCATTGATGTTAGCAACACAACTGCTCACAAGAAGCACACCGTCGCTCGGCCATTGACAACCACCTCAAACAGGCGCAGAATTGCGCAAACTTGACAACTCCAAACACAACAGCATAACATTGGTATGGCTGGGTCTCCTCTGATACATGTGCCATCTTGTTTGATTGCGCCTGCCTTGCGATATTCCTGCGTGCAAATAAAGAGGAAGCGGTCCCAGGTGATCACAGCAGCATCGCCTTGCAGCGATTTGCTTATTCAACCATGATTGCGGCATTTAGCCGGAAGTCCCGGAAAAAGGCGGCATTTGATCAGGTCGGAAACATCATGCAGTAGTCGGAAGGACTAGTAGGCACAACGATCAATGCCTTCGGGCTCCAGCAAGGGGATTTCAGAAGCAAATCACTGGATGCTGGCCAACACAGCTCTGTCTTGCATCGCAGTGTCCTGCATCCTCCTTCAACCTGCTGATGATGCTGGCCTCGTAGCAGGACGCCAGTCACAATGTAATGGGACATTGACTAGAAATGGCCCAACATGCCAGGCTCTTTGCGATGAACAACCACAAGGACATGCCCCAGTGAGTCTGTGTGTGTGTGTGTGCGTGCGTGCGTGTGCGTGTGCTCTCAGATGGCAACAAAACCACTATCGGACAGTAAGGATACAATGCCCCAATCGGATAAAGGAACTGTCCAGGTCAAAACTCAAAACCATCATCAAGGCGGGGGTCTGTGCCCTTCCCCCAAGTGAGGTTGCAACAAACCAACATGTTTTTGTTTTCTTCGCGTGTTTTGGAAAACTGCTTCAGAAGGGGATGCCATCCCAAGAAGAATTTGAGCTAAAACCAGCAACAGAACATATATTTATATATGGTTGTCTAGACATTAGATGGCTCTCAGAGACAGACAGGCTGAGACAATGTGCGTGGATCGCGTGGAGACATGTTGGCAAGGGTTCAAACCACATAGCTGCCATGGTCAACAGTGCTTCTGAACGTCTAGCTTATAGCAATCGCGAAATTTACAGGAACCTGTCATTAGCCTTGCATTGTTGAGAAAGCTTTAGTCTAAGCTCTGCATTTCATACGTTCGTGACACCTTCACCAAGATCTCCATGTTCAAGCAACTAAGCACCAGGTAGGTGGTTTGATCACATGATGCTGCAATGATGCTGCAATTCAGTACTATTGGCAGCGATGTTTACAGGGAAGCTCTGATTCCCGAGCGCCAACCCCCCTCAAACCAACATAATTACCAGTCACAAGTGGCACACTGGCACGACCGTATAACAGTGGCTTGAGTCGCAATCGATTCACGGCACTGTCATGGCACAAATCGCTGCAAGCAGCACAATGGCACTGGCACGTCAACCTTTGCATGTCGTTGAAATTGCCATTTCATCCTCCTTCGTCCTACTGTCAAGTCAGGCTTGTTGGGCCAGCCTCGCCCAATCCCTGGGACCATCCTTAACTTGTGCAGGATGTGTCTAAACATTTCTGGCTTGGCAAGCACTGAACCTTGTGGAGCCATTGGCAAACATGCGATGACGGTTGGACAAATTGTAGCACGAGAATTGATCTGTTCGCAAACGCGGGCTGAAAGGGGAACGGCTGTGTGCGAACCATAACAAACCAAATCAGCAGCAGGACTCAACAAAGGAGGCTGAGCACAGCCGCACTTTACCCACAATGGAAACATCGAGAGGGCAAGCACATACCAAGACCAGGGTTCCATTTGACCACCAAATAGACTTCAACCCAGTTCCCTTTGAGGTACAAAACCCACCCCTCAGTTTAAGTCAAGTGGAACCCTGACCTACTGTGGATGGACGAAATCCGTTTCGCACCGCTTTGAAAGTATTGGACACCATACCGTTTGTTGGTATTTACAGGGGAATCATCCTTCCAGGGTTTCTGAGGTGGTGCAGGATTTCGTCCATCCACAGTATGGGCATTCAAATCATCCCGCCTTGAGCACCTCTGGTGCCTCAGGGTCAATGCCCTCACGCACAGCAGCCATGGCCTCGCGACCGGCAAAGCCATCTACGAGCGCTTCTCACCACCGTGGCCTTCGAAATGCAGCTGTGTGGCCAAGAGATTTTGTTTAGCCTCCCTAAGGCTAAAACGTGGCATGATGCAATCATGATACTGCTTTTGAGATCAGCAATAAAGCATCTTACGCTGTTTTATTCAGTGCATCATGTTGCTGTCTGCACACATTGCACAGTTGCTGATCCGGCAAAGGCGCCCAACATGAGTGTCTGCTTGTGCGACATGCAAGTTTGCTGGTACATGGTTTGTGTGTGTGTGTGTTTTGCCTGTGGGCTTGTTTTTTTTTTCCTGAGGGGAACTGTTGTTTTCAAGGGCAACTGAAGGATGTCAACCACTGTTGGGGGCCCCACGTTTTTAGACATGTAGGTTGGCCAATGGCGCTGTGGAAAGCGGCAGCGTCTTTCCAGGCACCTAGGTGATGTAGCTGATGCTTTTTTGGGCCTTTTGGGGCCATCTGCCAAAGTGGGAAACATGACCACACGAGCTTGACCTAAGTACGCCAACATAGGCGTTTTAAAACCATAAACGTGGCTTCCAGGTGCGAACACACGTTCGCTGCTTCAACGCTTCGAGAAAACCGCGCCCCTCGCCATACACGCGATGGCGCTGGGCGGCGCTGCGTTCGACGCCGGATCCCTTCCAAGGATCTGCCCTGGGTGTTGGACCGCTGAGAACTCTCATCCGAGCGCCAGCAAGGAATTGTGAGTGCAAGTTCGCAAGGCTCCCTGAGTGCCAAAATGCAGAGTCCCTTCTCTGAAGCTCTCAAACTCTAGACAATGGCTTGGAGGAGCTTTTCGCGGATTTCACCTGTTCTTCCCCAGTTGGTCATTTTTTGGTAGCCTTTTAGCACTATTTTCATATTCTTCAGGGGTGATTCCACAGATTCGCCACATCCGAACCGTTTTCTAGACAAACCTCCAGTCCCACGCTCGCCTTCTTTAAAGGCAGCTCCGGCCGTGTGCTGGGCGGGAAGGTCTTGGACACCTCGAAAGCGGCGATTCCGAGTCCGGAGTCGATCCAAAATCCCGGGATCGAAGGTCAGGCCAGTTGCGCTGGGCCTAAGCTTAACATCTTCCATATGGCTGTGGCTCCAAAAACCGGTACCAAAATGGAACCCTGGTAAGTGGAAACATGGACCAAAACCTGCGTAACCTCTACTGTTCAATTTTGAGCCACAGCCATATAGTGGCAGGTGTTTCTTTCACTCAAATGGCCACGTGTGCCACAAGTGCAGGGGCAGATTCACTGGGGCCAGGTCAGCTCAAAGCTCGAGCGCCCCTGTAGGTGAAGGCTGAAGCCGGCTACACCATATCTCCACCATACCTCCACCCCCCGGCGTTATTGAAACAAATCAAGATTAAGTCGAGAATGCCAGAACCTTCAAATCAGCTGCCGCGTCCATGAGGCATGCCTGACAATGCGGGCAGCCACAAGCAGTTCGTTTTGCCTTGTTGCTATTTCGTACGTTGGTGAATTTACGCTTGTACTATATTGTCTCAATATCCACGATGGCAACAGCACAACAGCTTTCTTGTTTTTTCAACAGCATTCACCTGCAAACAATCTTCGGGTAGTGGAGATGAGATAGATGAGCTGTTCACAACCCTCAGTGAATTCCCACGCTTCTCCGCTCTGGAGTGTCCGCGCTCTACCTCATGACAAGGTGAAAGTATTGCTGTATCTAAAACCTACGTTGTTCAAACAACACACACACACACACACACACCACTTCAGGCACCAGGTTTGGGCCAAACACAGGAGCCCAGTCACAAACATGATCAGGGTTGCTCCGAGCCATTCTTGAAAGATGACAAAACCAGAATGGTGGAAATTGGCAGACAGTTTCCAGTTTGCTTCTTTATAGCGCTGATGTCTGCCCTTGTGTCCAAGGGTCTTCGCAGCAACCAAGCAACCAAACCACAAAAACAAAACCATTTGACGGGGAAAACAAAGTGTTCAGGGAATCTATGACACTTGATTTTACAAACACAAGCATATCATGCATGCAAACGTACCCAGTGACCCCAGGGATGTGCCATCCGTGGCCCCAGCGGCTCCCTGGGGCTCCACCTGGGCCTTGGAACAAAATCCGCCAGGGTCCGGTCGCCCGTCGCTTGGTCTGCTGAATCCTTACGATCTGCGTGCATCGGTTTTCGCCACAAGTGCATGAGACGAACAGAGCCCCGAATCCGATCCATTCTCATAGGGCCATTTGGTAAGTCCCGAAATCTGCGTTGAAAACAGGGCCCAGCTGATGCACCAAATCGGACCCGAAGCAATCCCTGCTTGCACCCTCGCAGTTCCGCGAGGAAGGATTCAATTGAAGTCAAACCCTTCACTTTGGCCATGCTGCTGCTGCTCTCTTTCGGGGTCACTCGGATCAAAAGCGCAAAGGTCACCTCAAAAGGGCAACAAAAGCGGAGAGTCGGCATATCTGCCGTCGCGCTGTGGTTCAACTTGAACCCCTCCAACAGCTATTCTTTCTTTTCCCAAAGTCAACAGCCCAGGTGACCCTTGCAGTCCTGCAAAAAGCTTATTGCAAAGCCAACTGAAAAATAGCTCCGCCTCAGGCCCGGGCGAGTCTGGGCTGAGGGCTGAAAACCTGGAGTCCGGCACATGTTTTCTTGCACAGATTCTACGAATGTGGACCCGCCATATCATATACACGAAACATCAGGATGAGAAAATAAGCTGTTCCACGGTTCGCGAGCGTCGTTGGCCGTTTTGAAACGAATCCGCATGACCCCTTCACAGTCTAGCCCCTCTTCCCATTTCGTGCCTGGCAAGCCCAAACTTGACAACTAATTGAACTGCAGCCCTGAAAGCTCAACGCTGCCTACACTGCCTCCTACACATCTTTTCCCGGCATCTTCCTGCCGATCTCTGTATCATATACGAGTAGCAATTAATATACGTATATATGTACGATACAAAGTCCGAGTCACAAAAATCAAAATCGTTGTGGCAACAAAACCCAATGTGCGAGACCACTCCTCCCTTCCAGTGCCTCCCCACCCCGCCCGCCTTCGGCGTCTTTGCCCATGCTCGGCACCAGTTGCCCCGCGGCATCATTATCTGCGGAGGCAACAAGTTGCGCAAACCCCGAAAGCGAGTCAACGAGTCCTCCACGAAGCCTCAATCGATGACTCAAACAAGTCAGGAGCAACAAATGGGCATGGGTCAAAACCCCGGTTAGCCCCCAGTGAACTGTGAACATCCCAATCCCAAAAGTACCATTGGTTTGACCCACAGCAAAATCAGCCTCTCAACATTGAAGTCCACTTTCGGATCAGCTGAACGCACGCAATTGCCATCCCAATCCCGGCATCCATGGTAGCCAGCCTTGCGGAATCTGTTTTTGGGATTTCGCAAACAAGTCAAAGTATCCAGTAGTGATAGATTCCCTTTAAAACCAGCAAGGGAAAATCAAACATGTTGTTAAGCACATGGATGATAATGAAATCTCCGATCCACTCTGAACATCTCATAATCTGAGTTGCGGCTCTTGCAATCTGTTCCTTCTTCGCTGCCTGGCGCGCTGCCCATCGCATCTCCAAGTAGAAAAGGACATCCACTGCATCGTGGGACTCCTGGCGCCACGGCCAATTGTTTTGTGCACCAGCAAGTCCAAGAAAGTTCCTTGTGTGCTGCCATGCTTGCACACATGCACATACGACAGTGTCATAGTGTGACAGTGTGACAGTGTGACAGTGTGACAGTGTGACAGTGTGACAGTGTGACAGTGTGACAGTGTGACAGTGTGACAGTGTGTGTGTGTGTGACAGTGTGTGTGTGTGTGTGACAGTGTGTGTGTGTGTGTGACAGTGTGTGTGTGTGTGTCACAGTGTGTGTGACTGTGTGTGTGTGACTGTGTGTGTGTGACTGTGTGACTGTGTGTGTGTGTGTGACTGTGTGACTGTGTGACTGTGTGACTGTGTGACTGTGTGACTGTGTGACTGTGTGACTGTGTGACTGTGTGACTGTGTGACTGTGTGACTGTGTCACTGTGTCACTGTGTGTGTGTGTGTGTGTGTGTGTGTGTGTGTGTGTGTGTGTGTGTGTGTGTGTGTGTGTGTGTGTGTGTGTGTGTGTGTGTGTGTGTGTGTGTGTGTGTGTGTGTGTGTGTGTGTGTGTGTGTGTGTGTGTGTGTGTGTGTGTGTGTGTGTGTGTGTGTGTGTGTGTGTGTGTGTGTGTGTGTGTGTGTGTGTGTGTGTGTGTGTGTGTGTGTGTGTGTGTGTGTGTGTGTGTGTGTGTGTGTGTGTGTGTGTGTGTGTGTGTGTGTGTGTGTGTGTGTGTGTGTGTGTGTGTGTGTGTGTGTGTGTGTGTGTGTGTGTGTGTGTGTGTGTGTGTGTGTGTGTGTGTGTGTGTGTGTGTGTGTGTGTGTGTGTGTGTGTGTGTGTGTGTGTGTGTGTGTGTGTGTGTGTGTGTGTATGTGTGTATGTGTGTGTGTTTTTTCCTCTGGCGCCGCAAGCAATTCAATCCTTGGTTTGCAGTGACTAGCCTGGCAAACACGTATTGTGAGTGTAAGAGTCAAAGCCACCTCGACACACTGTCTGGTTCCTCACCAATTCCAAGTTATCATGAGTGAGGCATTTGCTACACCTAACGTGGCAGGACGCGAGCTGAGCATAGCCAATTCACCGAGTGATCTATGATTTGCGCTGGAGAATCCCAACTGTCAGGCTGGCGTGAGATACCAGCCCCAGGTTGCTTCCAACGGGCAACACAGAGGTCAAAGTACATTGCTTGGCATGGTCACCAGTCCGTTGCGAAACGACCACAACCATTGGAGGGACTTCTATGGATACCACGACTACATGAGCTTGAGGGGGGGCGGGGGGAGGGGGGGAAATGAACACCAGGAAGTCCGTTTGCAACCCGCAAACAACGATGCACTCTGCATATGATGGACAGGTAACTTGCCTTTTCCATGCGTGTTCATTTCCCAAATATCTAGAGCTGTGTTGATGCAATGGGTTGGCCACAAGTTCGCCTGAGCCCTGTCTTCAAGCGTACCATGCCAGTGCCGCGCAAGCTGCGCTTGTCACCCGGCCAACCCAAAATGAAAAATGGTACCTTGGTAAATGGCACCAAAAACTAAAACCTGCGAAACCCCAGGTCTTGAACTTTGAGCCCTACCCAAACCCAACAAAACGTAGCCTGCGAATCCCAGCTGCAAGCCATACACGCGCCTCCAGGAAGCGAGCGAACATCTCGATGCCCTGGTGCTCTGAGCGGTACTGCTCCACCTGGGCCGGGCTTGGTGACACATCACTGTGGCTCCTTCATGGGAACCCAACATAGCACCTTGGTAAATGGAAACAAAGACGAACTCCCGCGTGATCCTAACTTGTTTGATTTGAACAGGGATCCTTACATGATACACCTGAACATTGCCTTGTAATGGTGGTGTCCTTTTATTTTGGTGGAAAAAGCCATGTTTCAATTGGTTGCAAAATGAATTTCTTTTAAGGAGCCCTGTTGAGCCACACCCACATAGCTTATCTGTCCAAACCTGCCCCACGGAAACTCAGACTTGCTGGCTCTGGCCCTTGTGGCCAGGGTGCGCATTCTGTTGCTTGGTACCTCTTGCTGACTAGAATCCAGTCTAAGACTGACATTTCTGGTTGGGCATCTTCCTTGATACTTAGAACAGCATTCCGCCTGTCTGAAATAGCAAAGAATCCAAACACCTGTTGGTAAGGGCAAAGGGATCCAAAGTCCTAAGAAACCATCAAATGACAACTACTGCGCCACGGTCCAACGAAGGGGGTCGTATCTGCAAATTCAGCACCTTCGGATCCATTTTTTCCAACGTAATCCAGAGCACAGTGGCGTTCGTGTCCACACCGGGTGCCCTTCCACATGAAGACATGAAGACTCCGGCAGAGGCCAGGGTGATCAAATCCGAGCCTTACGACCCTTACAGTTTGAACCCAAACTTCTACGAGCGCACTCAACACCCCTTCACTTTGGGCTCCGAGGCTTGCATCCCTAAACTCTCCCAATAAGCAATTGCCAATGAGCAGCACCCCATAAACTCACCGAAACTCAAACATTGAACAAAAAAAAACATGGACAGCCCCAACATGGGAAAACCCAACATGGAAAGCCCTTTTGAAACCTGGGAGCCAAACACGGGCATGATATTCAATTTGTGACCCGAGACGGGAATCAAAATCTGGAAACATGGCAGAACCCCCCCAAGAGTTCTTGACCAAACCCTGGAATGACCCCGGCATGCTAAAAAAAACCTGAAACCCAAGGAGCCCAACATTTGACGGCTTGACAGTTTGACTCGTTTGACCCCCCCCCCAAACCTGAAACCTGGGAGCCCAACATGTGGCTTGGCTCGTTTGACCCCCCCACACTTTCGACTTTCTGCCGAGACTCGCTCTTCGCCAAGCTCCAACAAGTTTGGCCCACCATCTGCCGCAACCCGAAGCGTTTGCCCGCGGAAGTGACCACGGACCTCGCGAAAAACGAGCCAAGGAGCCAAGCGCCAGGGGCGCCTTTGGGGTGAGACGCTTTGGGGGGTGAAAGGTTGTTCTAACAAACAATATTAAAAAAGCAAGCAAACAAACAAGCGAACGAACAAACAAGCAAGCAAGCAAACAAGCAAGCAAGCAAACACAACAACCAGTTTCAAGAGAAATCACGCCGACAGCACACAGCATACACAGCAAGACCATACCCAATTTAAGGGAAAATCTAAAGAACTCTTAATCTACCAACATCCAAGCCTTGTGGGTGCTTGTCAACATGTGCATCTCTCAAGTAGTTCGAAATTCCATAGACATGATTGCCTGTCAGGCCGCTGGAGACGTCACTTGATCATGCGGGCCACCCTCGCAGCTTGTAGCGCAGTGCCGCCAAGCACAATCACCTTGCTTGGGATGCCACCAGCACGCACAGCATTCGCGCGGAGCTTCCGCGGGGAGCTTCCGTCTGCCACAAGGGAGCGGCAGCAGCATAGGTGTCCTTTTAGGGCAAATAGATGGCCCTGGTAGATGATTAGACCACCAGGTAAACCAGGAATCGCCATCTATTTTTCCACCAAAACAACCAATATGGGCAGCCTCACGTCTGAGTGCTTGGCTGGGGGAAGCTCGTAAGGTCGCTGGGCAACCTGGCGCAAAGAATTCTCAAGCGACTGCCTGTGGGCCTTGAAGGA